CAAACAACAAATGAACACTTTCCGACTTCTAAAATAATTTAAAAGGTTGACCACTACAATCGATTCAGTTATCATGTTTGCCAGAACTCTCACAACTCCAGAGATGAAACCAAGCATCTAAGGTTCCCCACAGTCTCTGCTGGGATGCTGCACTCTAAGACAGCTGAGATGCTGCACTCTTAAGATAGCTGAGATGCTGCACTCTTAAGATAGCTGAGAGTTGCTGTACTCTATGATAGCTGAGATGTTGCACTAAATACAGTTAGGGTGCTGCAACAGACAGTTAGAATTATGCAATTAAGATAACTGGGATGCTGCACCGGAGACATCAAGAATGATGCATTTAAGATAACTGTGACGCTACACTAGAAGCACTTAGAATGGTGTACTGGAAAAAGCAAAGAGGCTATACTCTAAACAGCACAGATATTGCATGTGAGACAGCTGGGTTAGACAGATGTGATGCTACAATGTAAACACCAGGGATGTTATACCTAAAGACGGCTGAGTTAGACAGATGTGATACTACAATGTAAACACCAGGGATGTTATACCTAAAGACGGCTGAGTTAGACAGATGTGATGCTACAATGTAAACACCAGAGATGTTATACCTAAAGACGGCTGAGTTAGACAGATGTGATACTACAATGTAAACACCAGGGATGTTAGATCTAAAGACGGTTGGGTTAGACAGATGTGATGCTACAATGTAAACACCAGAGATGTTATACCCAAAGACAACTGGAATACTTCGGTGTAAACAAATTGGATGACGGGTACAAGACAAGATGGGACAATGCACGATGAAAACCTGGCTTGGAGACGAAGGTACAATTTAGAGCTTAAGGGTTTATTCCGAGTGTCTTAAGATATGTGGAGAAAGGAGCACGTCCACTCTAGGCATTTCAGTGAACAGTCTTTGATATGCAGATGGCGAGTCACAATAACGTCGCTGAAAAATGTTGACCAGACCACACACTAGAAATTGAAGAGACGACGACGTTTCGGTCCGTCCTGGACCATTATCAAGTCGATTGTGATAAGACGAGTTGTTGTTTAAGATTCAGCTACTGGGAACAAGATTGATTGATAAAGATTAAGCCACTCAAAAGGTGGCACGGGCATGAATGGCCCGTAAGTGGTGGCCCTTTTGAGCCATTACAAGTATCAATAGATGATACTGGAGATCTATGGAGGTGCGACTGCACCCTGCGTGCTGGGAACAAAACATGAGACGAGATAAAGATTGATAACAATTAAGCCACCCAAGAAGTGGCACGAGCATGAATAGCCCGCAAAAAAATGAGACGAGGGAGGAAAGGGCATTAAGTAAGCAAGAGAGAGGTGAGGAGATGGAAATTTTAAAGAAAGATAAGAGACGTCGTCCTTTCTTCAATTTCTAGTGTGTGGTATACATTATTTTTAATTACGACCTACCAAGTAATCACATGGCAAAATGATTAAGTAATCCCAGAGAAATATCTATTCATAATACTCAAAAAATTTTGTCATTCATCTGGAGACGGAGCGTTGTAATTTTCTCTCAAACTATCAAATGCTTTTTTTTTTTGGGGGGGGGGGAAATTACGGTGAAATAGCGAATACATATTGGAAAAAACACTTAGAAACTTAAATTCAACTAATATGTGTTTTTAATGTTTACAAAATGTTAATTTGAACAGTGAAGTAATAAATATATTACTCTACACAAGTTTACTATATAAAATTAAACACAAATCTCACTTCTGACAGTCACAGAAGTAACAAAAAAATCATATATGTTAAAAAATATCTACCTCTAAATTTGGACAAAACCCAAATTTTAAGGTGTCGTATAATTTGAGCAAGAGACTGGACACCGCTTGAGCACAACTGGTACATTCTAATAAGGAAAATGACAAATACAAATGACATGAGATGACAGACAGTGGAGGCGCATTATTTTTCACTCAAAACCTTTGTAGTATCTATGAAGAGAGAGAGAGAGAGAGAGAGAGAGAGAGAGAGAGAGAGAGAGAGAGAGAGAGAGAGAGAGAGAGAGAGAGAGAGAGAGAGAGAGAGAGAGAGAGAGAGAGAGAGAGAGGAAACTATCAGGAGAAAGGCCCAAGCTGTTGCAACTATACAAGACTTGGAAGGGATCAGCACAATGATTTGGGATGGGGTTGCTGGAAGGAATGGTGCCCAACCACTTGAATGGTCGGGAATTAAGCGCCGACCTGCAGGAAGCGAGACCGTCGTCGCTCTACTGTCTTGTCCGAGTGGTTGGGCACAGAGAGAGAGAGAGAGAGAGAGAGAGAGAGAGAGAGAGAGAGAGAGAGAGAGAGAGAGAGAGAGAGAGAGAGAGAGAGAGAGAGAGAGAGAGAGAGAGAGAGAGAGAGAGAGAGAGAATCTCATACTTCGAGATAGTATCTTAAACCCCTTGGAAAGTATATATTAGAGTACAGTATACAGTTACTGTTAATGAATCAGCTTACTTGGATGCACACACGGTACAATCTAGCATGCTTCATGTGTATGGTGACCAGGACCTTGTGCAATAATAAAAGGCTGCAGAAGGTTGTGAACGATGCAACGCACTTCCTCTGCAGAACAAAACAGTCTGCTGCTTAGGGGCGGGGAGTCTAAATTTATTTTTATCAAACACATGAATATAATGATATATATAAACATGACTTTTAAAATAGCTACTCAGTACAAAAAATGAAGAAAGCAGTGAACAAAATATATTACCAGTGCAAACTACAACAGAGAGCCGATAAGATTATTACTTACACAAATATGACCAGACTTAGGCCAACCATCACGTTTTGCTTCTCATTCACTAATATCTAATGAAAATCCAATTCTCATCTAGATGCTTGAACCCAACACATTTATGAACTACAATGCCACAACAGCTTTATCAGTCCAAATCGGATCACATCTCAATATAAGTGCCGAATTCCCAATGACTCGCATCTTGTTTCTTTCCCAGAACTGAGAGAATGCCTTTTAGGTACAGTAAGTCTCAGTCCATTCTGTAAGGCTATTTTCACCCATATGGTCGGAGCTTAATCCTTACACTGCTCTAAACGCATATTTGTGAGTTCGTCCTGTGTTCAAACTCCCGTATGCGTTTGATCCTTATTTAGTTTTCAATACTTTTGCTTTGCATGTGCACCTGGATGATGTAATACTTTTAAACAGCTTAGCAGTTTAGGGGTTAACTTCGGGTGAGACAATCAGTCGCATTCCCCATTTCCACTATATTAGGATAAACAAAATATCAGCACACGAATTGTTGAGAATTCGGGTTCAGAAGGATCATCAAACATTTTAGAGACCAAAGACAACAGGTCCTTGAAGGGTGTGTCCTCAAACGAATCCGGTATTTTGGTTAGGCCCAAGACAGTCGGTTTTTTTCTTAAGTATACCGGGAAGCGTGAAGCAGGTTTCCGTAAGATGGGCTCTGTGACCCTCACGGCTAAGTATATACACTAATAGAGTAATTTTTTTCTTACAAAACTATAGTAACAAAGATCTTCAACAAGTATATCACCGCCTCTCTCGCTTTCACATTTACACACAAACTTAAAAGCTAATGATATATATTATGCTAAAACCACAAATAATTAAAGCAATATTCATATGTACATATTATTAAGCCTATTTTGTATATCATACAGTTCAGTCAGTCATTAATATTAATTGAAATAAAACTCGCAGCATTGATTTCAACAGCAGACTCCTCTTGTACAATGGTCATTGACACAAACTTCAGAGAGGTCATGTCATCAATTATGAGTCCGAGCTCAATACCCTAATCTATAGAATTAGTAAAGTGGAATGCCGGAATAAGAGGAAGCAAATATTTAGCTAAACCTAGCTTTATTCATGTACTAAAACTACGGTCTTTTATTATGTAAACACACCAGGTTTTTAAAGATATTGTATATAAATTAGCTTTTAGCTTTTGCATAATTTCTCTTACATGCATATTTGGAAACACATAGTGATATCTGCATACGGTATACTTTAACACGAATATCCACATCGCGAAAGTTTACAGTTTACAAAAGATGGCATTTGGAAGGCACAGGAGAAAAGACAGGTTTGCTGGCAGACAATATATATAGTTTTACAGAGGTTACTTATAAAGCACCTCTTACATACTTCATGTTGAAGCATCAACTCTTGCGTTAAAGCAGATCCATCTTTGAATCATCTTCGATCCTCTCAACTGTTGATGTAAGCGTTTGCCGGCAAGCCCTTGGTCTTAAAGAGGGATAATAATTGGACTTCTCCACATTGATGAAATAACAATATAAACAAAACACAATTAAGATTATAAGGCATGGAATATAATTCAGAGAGAATTTGGCTTGTGAGAGAGAGGTGGAGGTGCAGTAGGGTGGAGAGTGGTGTGTATTTGGCGATCACCAGGCACACACACATACACACACACACACACACACACACACACACACACACACACACACACACACACACACACACACACACACACACACACACACACGGCACCTAAACCCCCTCCAACTCTTGTGACAGAGAACAAGAGCACAGTTTTGAGTCCTAGGACGGAATCCACTGAGTACTTCTAATTCGTGTCGAGGACGACGGCCAAGATGGCCACCGTCCTTGCTACATATATGGCACTGTCGTGGAAGACACGTTCAAATAAACAGGCACGTTGGCAAGATGAATGGCTGGGCATGACGTGACACAATAACGTTGGTGTTACTGTCATAAAAGCAACAACAATAGGACAAATGCAACAGATTTAATCTGAAACGCTGCAGTGTTTAGCTCGACCTTACTCCTTAAAGATCAACCGTAAACTGCTTTGTCACTCTCTAATTGGGTCAATAGTAATTAACCTACACAATAAAGCAATTTAGGGTTAGTGTCCGGAATATATATATATATATATATATATATATATATATATATATATATATATATATATATATATATATATATATATATATATATATATATATATATATGCTTACACTTTGAAGAGTATAACATGGTCAACTAAATATCTTTGTGAAGATAATCTCATATGTCTGGGGAACAAAACATTCATTCTTAACTGAAATAGGCATTAGATACCCTGTAAACTGCATTATAGCTATGTCTTACTCATCGATTAGAATACATTTGATTTTATTAAGGCTAACACAGTGGCGAGCATTAGACAGCCTGGCGAGTGGAGGGGAGAGGGAGAGCTGGCTCTCCCGTGGACCACGTTCGCCAGGCGCTGTGATCGCCCGAGGACATTCACTGCATTTTAGGGCTTATCAACAGTGACAACCTGTAAAATCTGGATATTTTTTGTACAGTTATTTTTCACAGCTCATTTCAAGGCCTTAATATTTAGATACATTCTGCAAACCTCTACCAAGAGCGTCTAAAAATGAATCACAGCAAGATCACCTCAAACTACGGGCTCACCATAGCCCGTGCTACTTGGGACATTTTGTTCCAAGTAGCGAATCTTTAACAACAACAACAACAGTTGTGGCGTTTAGCTTTACATAATGATATTCCATTTGCTAATTCAACCACTTAATGTCTCCCGTATAAATGTAAATAGCTAGATCAACTTGCTTGCTGTCATTCTGTGTGCTCCTTTAACTTGTGTTCTGAGAGTATGACCAGGGGGCAATGATTTGGTAAAGTTTACCCTGGACATTATCAATGACGCTCCATGCTCTCTTTTCCTTCTCACGCACTCATCTCTTCACCGGTTAGCGCCGTTTTCTGCAGAACTTACATTTATGGCAGACTAAACTTATCTTTCGAGGCGGGTGTTTTGAGATAAGCATCGCCAGGGAACACAAACTACTGGTGGGCTCTCCAAAACGACCAGCCGGTACAGGCACTCCAACTCACGGCCTCCCTCCTTATGAGAATACAATGCGTTGACTAATGATGGCCTGTGATTGCCGTATCTGATCCAGCTTCCAGGCCAAGATGATGCTGGACTGGCGCTCAGTGCTCAACCCCCGTGAGCTCTATGAGCGTGAGGTCGTAGCTGTCTGGGTCTCGGTGCTGTACCTCCATCAGGAACAGGTCCTCGTTGCAGTAGTGGCGCAACATTTCGTCGTCCACCTTGGCCATCACGCTGTCAAATGATAACAAGTGGCCAACGTTAGTGTCAGTTAATTTTGAATTTTGAACGTTACTTAAGATGCACTTTGCTACTACAGTGTGTGCGTGTGTTTATACTTATAAGCGGTATTTTTTATAATTTAATTTTAAATTCAATATGTCACCATGTCAGACAAACATGAACAAAACTCACCCGACTTTATTTTTCCTGTATATGTTTTTGATAGTTTGTGTTGGGATTTTGTACTTTTCCTCAATCTGAAAACATAGAAAATATCAATGCTAAGCATATTAAGCTGTAATATATATATATTTTTTAAAACTGTGGTGAAAGATTGAAATATATACAAAGTTAAAATAAGCCATACAGCAAAAGTTGTAAAATATGACATGTTTTCTGCTTCCTAACTCATTCTGTATTTCTTCAAAGAGAACTGTGGCCGAAGAACACACACAAACATGTCTGTTTCCAGTTATGTCTGAGTATGAATATAAAACAAGGATGATATCCTTTAAAATATTATTTTTTCTCAAACGCAATACAAGTTGGATCTCACACTAACCAATCACCTTAGTAATGCAGGCTCACAAAAGTGGCAGTCAAGAATAAGTCACATAAAAAAACTAAGTAATAACGAAAGACATCAATTACGTAGCTAAAAAAGTACTGAAGACACACACTAAGAGGAAAGTCGAGGAGATGTGGTAAAGCCAAGTACCTGAGCGGTACTTAATGTAGTGGCCAATGTTAATGCTCAGTTACAGCCCCGTTCCTGTGCCAGGTAGGTCCAATACGGGCTCACCCTAGCCCGTGTTACTTGTCCCGCTCCTGTGCCAGGTATGTTACGGGCTCACCATTGCCCATGCTACTTGGAACTTGTTCCGAGTAGCTGAATCTATAACAACAACAGCTAATGCTCAGTTACAGCCCCGTTCCTGTGCCAGGTAGGTCCAATACGGGCTCACCATAACCCGTGCTACTTGAAACGTTTTATTCCGAACAGCTGACTCTCAAACAACAACAATAACGCTGATACTTTACTCACCGCTGAGCGGAGGCCTACGGTGCTGGGAGGAACCAGATGGAGAGGCGTGTAGACGTCCTCGCCGTCCTGTCTGACGTAGAGCATGAGTCGCTCGGTGAGGGGAGGCGTGAGGCGGGACCTCTTCGACACATGGGAGAACACGTCGGTCATGGGACTGTCCATGGACCCGTTGGGTAGGCCGCCGCACAGCTCCTTCCTGGGGGCATCACTGTGGTGGGGGGTGGAAGGAAGGCGTTAGCTGCTAGATGACTGTGCCAGAACACATGATCGCTCGCTGGGTACTAGGACCAACCTTGGCGGCCTCTAATGATATCAGTGAGTTATTACAGGGAGAGTTACGCTGGACTGAAGAACACACTCTCACACAAGACAGATCAAACGGAGTTAAACAACTCTCATTGTGTGAGTTACCTTTTTATGCTTATAATATATAAAGTTTAAAAATGTATTAATATCTGGTAAGAATTACTACAAGAACCAGCAGTACTCTCAAACCCCCCCCATGACTGCTACACTCTAAGCGATGAATTTATTAATCACATAACAAGATTAATACAAATAATTGTGTCAGATAATCTTTTTACGTATTCAGAAAAATGATTGATCAACTGGGTTGTGAAACCTCTGTAGATTTCAGGCCAATCGTGGATTTGCGGACACTACACAGGTACACTCTACACAGGTACACCCTACACAGGTACACCCTACACAGGTACACCCTACACAGGTACGCTCTATGCTCTGTAGAGTCACTTGGAGCTAGGATCAACAGAGCAGCCCGGGTCTATTCACAAACTTCCCTTACACTGCTCTTTCATTTCAGAATATGAATTGACATGGTTCTTCAAAAGAATGAAGAGAATTTATGTAGAGTGTCAAGTTAAACTCTAAACACCTCGTCAGGATTACATAAACATCGAATAAATAGTGTGGGATACAGTTGTAATGGATGCTGTTAACGACTCAACAGTGTGGGATACAGCTGTAGTGGATGCTGTTAACGGCTCAACAGTGTGGGATACAGCTGTAGTGGGTGCTGTTAACGGCTCAACAGTGTGGGATACAGCTGTAGTGGGTGCTGTTAACGGCTCAACAGTGTGGGATACAGCTGTAGTGGATGCTGTTAACGGCTCAACAGTGTGGGATACAGCTGTAGTGGGTGCTGTTAACGACTCAACAGTGTGGGATACAGCTGTAGTGGATGCTGTTAATGCTAAGCCAGTTCTCTATATATGCTATTCCGTAAAATGGCATAATACAAGCCATAACAACCCACCTGAGCTATCGCGGCCGATGGATAGAAAAAAGTATAAATTTCGGAGCTTTATTTTGACCAATTACGTTCCCTTTTTAACGGAGAGGTCGACTATGATAGAAATGAAGTATAAGGTGAAAGAACTAGACTTTTTTATTAACACAGGGTGGGTGCAGGAACGTACTAAGCCTTCCGACTCCTGTTAACAGCCTTCCTGTTAACAGGCTGAGTGAGAGCTTTCCCTTCCCAGAGCTCATGGCAAGCTTTACCTGCTAGTTTTGTCTGGATTATGGGTGAACGCTTATCTTGGTTTGGTGTGTGAACGCCTATGTTGGCCTGGTGGGTGAACGCCTATGTTGGCCTGGTGGGTGAACGCCTATGTTGGCCTGGTGGGTGAACGCCTATGTTGGCCTTGGCTTAACTTAAACTCACTGTATTTCTTCTGGACTTAAGCTGTCCAACGTTTGTAGCCCCGCCACAGTCCTGGCTAAGCTTCAAGTGCCCCGGACAGTGCCAGCTCGATAAGCTTAGTGCCTCATAACCTTTAAACCAAGCTGGCTCCGAAAATATAACATATTTGTATATATATATATATATATATATATATTTATTCATCTATATGTACCGCATTCCTTTCTACATTCTACAGTATTTTTTTCATTTAATTTCGACACTCACTGACAAAATAATTTTAGTTTCGTATTTAAATATTACATAAACCTAAAAAAAAAACATGTAATAGAGATCAGTCCGATAAATACAGAAACGGAACAACTACTGTATTTTAGATTAACACAACTATGATAGGTTTAGACATGGGTGGGGGGGCTGGAGGGAGAAATATTTGCTTACAAATAAAGTACATTGACATAAAGAAGAAGTAGGCCTACTTCTGAGAACAAACAGGACAAACACACATATACATTGGGAGATCTATACTATCACCGAGGGGGAAGAAGGTCAGAACAAGGTATAATAAACATGAAAGCAAATGGTCTACACAACGAAGCCCGCAGTAAGCTCCCCCTTATACACACTAAAAAGAAACCCGCACGCCATACCTCTCAATGCTGTGCAAAGCAAAAAAAAGCAAAACACACACACACAAACACAAAAATATAGTTATGAAAACACACACACACACACACACACACACACACACACACACACACACACACACACACACACACACACACACACACACAAAGGGTGTCTGAGGTCGTGCAAAATACTAGTCTGTTGAAGCACATGTACAGATAAGGACAGTTGTAAACAGCAAGAGGTGTAGAACACTTGGATAATTACGAGTACACTACACTATCTACCCAACACTGAGGTAAAGCGTCATTATCCAGACACACACACACACACACACACACACACACACACACACACACACCTTGCTTGGCTGTGACAAGACAATGCTACAGGTGTATGTAAGAGTCATTAGTGCGGCTTGTCTCATCCTATGTCTAGCTCCTGGGACCCCACTTACCTTAGTGTCCTCAAATTCAGCTAGAGGGAGAGAAATGGTATCTTTAGAGGCCGGGTTTGTGAGATGAAGCAAAGTACCAAGGTGTGGAACATACACAGATGTGCTACACACCTGTGAGGAGGAATATACACAGGTATGCTACACATCTGTGATGAAAAATATACACAGATGTACTATACACCTGTCAGGAGGAATATATACACACGTGGAAAATTGTATGAGCCAGTTTTGTAGAGGAGTGAGAATAAGCTTGTTCATGAGTGAGTGATCTTGTTCATGAGGGAGTAAGCTTGTTCATAGCAGTGAGTAAGCTTATTATGGCAGTAAGAGTGCGTGAGCTTGTTCACGGGGGATTGAACAATGAGTGCATGGAGAGTGCCCGAATAGTTAGGATATACATGGATTTGTCGTACGTGGCTTTTGGCTTAGGTATGTGTGACTTGAGTACATGTGGCTTAAGCCTTGCAATTGAGGTATATATATATATGGCTCATGCATTCAGGATCACTGGAGCCTATTAGTGCACGAAAGGGCCAAAGGGCATAGAAGACATATATATGTAAGTCATATGCCTGTAAGTCAGTAAGTCAAAGAAGCAGGTCCTAGTTAATATAGGGGGGTAAAGTCCTGGTCAGAGCTAGCGTAGGGGAATAAGCGGTCACAAGGGTTTCTCCACTATGGAAGTTCTGTCGAAGTTAGTGTTGGTATGGAAGCAAGGTTTAGGAAACAAAGAGTCCAGTGTTGTCAGTGCAGCATAGATGGTAGGATGGTGTGGAAGGGAAAGGGGGGAAAGCACCAAGCCATTACGACTATATAGCACTGGGATCAGGATAAGAAGGATTTGGGATGGAACGGGGTGGGGGGGGGGGGGTTTAGGGAGGAATGGTGCCCAACCACTTGGACGGTCAGGGATTGAACGCTGACCTGCATGAAGCGAGACCGTCGCTCTACCGTCCAGTCCAAGTGGTTGGTAGCGCGTGTGTGGGCAGAGATGACACTGGATAAAGGGGGGTGTTGTGAGTTGGCATATACCGCTGTTAGTGTGAATGTTGGCAGACGTGACACACAGACAAGGGGGGGACGTGGGTTATTACAGCCCCCAGTTAGTGTGGGCGTGGGCGGACTAGCGCGTGTCTTACCCATAGGGTTGTGGGAAGCTGTAGTGGAACTTGTAGCTACTGCTGTTGGCTTTTGGCGAGACGGCGGTGGGCGGGGGGACCTGTAGAGGCGCTAACTGGGTGATAGTTGTTGTGGTGGAGAGGATGGTGGAGGAAGGTGGAGGAGGCGGGGGAAGAGGTGGAGGTGGTGGTGGGGGGTCGAGGCTGTGCGGAGGGGACATGCAGCGTCCTGGGGTTGAGGGGAAGCCGTGCTGAGGGGAGAGGTTGGAGGGGGACGAGCATTCCACTCCTACAGCCCCCGCCACGCCGACGCTGCAGCCACTGAGGGGGGAGAAGACACGTCACCATACGCCTCACCTCTACATCCTCGCCCGTCACCTCACTCACCTGCCTCACCTGCCCGGTATTACCCCTCCGTCTCTTGTTATCGCTAAGGTACCTGGGCACCACACTCGGTGCCAGGTATAACACGACACAAACTGTCACGTCAACAACTCACTGACCAACGTTCATGCGGTTGCTGACTGGAGAAGCCTTTTATGGCGTAAAAAATACATATTTATAGTATTCTTCTGAACCATTTTCGATGATTTATGCTAAATTTTGGAATTTGTATTCGCCACAAGTAATTTATACTGAACGTATCTAGTAACAATTTTGTGAGTGACCACCAGATGCCACTCTTGCGTGTAACCAATTTCTAAAGCAAATTTAAGACGCATATCACACATTTATATATATATTTTAATCCAATAAGTTAACACTCCTTGTCATGATGTATCTCAAAACAAAAATGCGTACGTCAGTGAGACGCTCAAAGATGATCTACTTGCAATGTGATATATACTAACTATTGCAGTTTTCAAACGCTGCACAATTCATATTGTGGATATTGTCCTAAGGTAATATTGTCTATTTCACGCAAAAGTTAACAAATGAGGCGAGGCTTCTAGGTGGGTGGAGCAGGTAAGTCAAGCGAGGGCATCACAGCAAGTCTACTGTCCTCTCAGCAAACACCCAATTGATCTAGAGCACAGGAAATATGGGGAAACATTATTGAATTTAGCTTCAGTTTTTAAGCTAACTTTACTACTGCCTGGCTTGGTGCCTAATATTAAAAAAACAGCTTAAAATAATGATTCTCACCTCAGGGATGATTTTCCTAATCGGGCAAATAATTTTAACCACCATCAAAACATTACAATCAAGACGAATAAGACAAATTATAATAATGAAGAATTAATCTGTGTCTAACACACACACACACATACACAGCACAGGCAGTAGCACCATCAATTACTAAACTGTCACCCACGGCATGATATATTTATATATAAATATATAGTGGAGTCTACCCTTGCATGGCTATTTTCTCTGAGTGGTTATAATGACACAGAGAACGGCTGGTCGTAAGTTACGTGCTTAACATGCATCATGCAAGTGCCATGGGGAAGGGGACAGAGAAATGAAGGAGAGAGGGGGAGAGGGAGAGGGGGTGGGAAGGGAGAGAGAAGGAGAGAGAGAGAGAAAGAGAGAGGGAGAGATACCGCTGGATGAATAATAAACACTTCAATGTATAGAACAACTGACACTATCCAACAATATTTTGGACTATCCTCAAGCTTACATAGATCCGAAGGTTCCAAATAACAAAACAGAAAGCCCTATAGATCTTTTTGAGAATTAGAAATAAGTTCATTATTATTTCTTTTATTATTACTGTTATTGCTAATATTAGGAATTACACTTTGAATAATGACTGTTAAATTGGTTAATCTTCTTTAATTCTGAAAATTCTAGGCCTATATACATCTCGTGCTGTTTCTGGATCTAATGGATCTTAACCCTGGCAGCACCACTCCAAATGACCTTATATTGCTCAACATAAACAAAACATGTAAACAAAATTGGTAAAAAGTACAAAAAAAGATAAATGTAACAAATAAAAATTGGTAAAAAAATAAAAAAAAGATATAAATTTAACAAAAATAGTAAAAAGTAAAAAAATGGTAAAAAAACGAAAATATGATAACAAAGGGGTAAAAAAAATACTTGCCCATTATCTGAATCGTGACTGTAGAACCCCTGCAGCTCCATAGGCATCTGTGGGTGAGAAGATTACTTAGTGCCAACCCGACCTCTCAACTCACCTTCTAAGACGTTATGGTCGCCAACGTTACAAATGCAACCTATTAAGACAAGTAACCACTCCCCCCTCCCCCCCCCCAAAAAAAAAATATCTACGTTGTCTATGACATGATGGGTTAGGTGGGCTGTTTGGGTTCGTATATGTTTCTGGTGATGATAAAAGGTTGGGATTTTTGTAAATGGCAAAATCAACAAAACGGACTGGAAGAATAATTCCACAGGAGGGAGTAACTGATGAATATAATTCTACAAAAAGAGGGCATAACTAATGAATAATTCCAGAAAAGGAAGGTGCAACTGATAACAAATTCTACAAAAAGAGGGTGTAACTAATGAATAATTCCACAAAAGGAGGGCGTAACCGATAAATAATTCCACAAAAGACAAACTGATGAATATAATTCCATAAATACAGTAGTAGGATTTAACTAATGAATTCCACAAAAGGAGGGCGTAACTGACGGTCATAGCTGATGAATAATTCCACAAGATCAGGCTGTAACTAATGAATAAATCCACAAAAGGAAGCTGTAATTTATGAATAATTCCCCCCCAAAAAGGATAATTCAAATAAAATCCAAAAAAATGAGAAATACTAGTCTCAACAAGCCTAGCAAAAACCTCTTTTTGCTAGGCTTGTCACTTGTCTTGCTAGAAAACAAGTGACAAGAGGAAGAATGGGAAAACGAAGCAGGAGAGGAGGAGACCAGAAGATCCTGCCCCCCTCACCTTATCCAGGTCCTCGGCAGGCGTGAAGAGCACGGGGGGTTTGGTTAGGTCCATCATGGAGTAGAACTCTGAGCGGTCACAGGGCGGGTGGTAGAGGTCCTCGTACTTCTTCCTGGTGGTTGCTGCCATTCTTCTCTTGGCGGCGCGTCTCTCTTCGTCCCTCGTCTTTCTCTCTGCTCCCTGGGTGTGTGTGGTGGGAAGAGACTGGTAAGATGCTGGAATGGTGATTCTGGGTGAGTGTGGTTGCTGGGGTGCAGCTGTAATTGGTGATTGGGTGTGATTGTAGCGGTGGTTGGGCAGTTGGGTGAGGTTATAGTGGACAGTTGGATGTAGCTATAGATGGTGGTGAGCCTTAGGGGATCTGTGCATCAAAATGCATTGTGCTATTCAAGCGGAAGGGTTGAGTAGGCAATTATAGGACTCTCTCTCTCGAGAGAGTTCAACCCGCTCAAGTTCAAGTATGTTTATTGAGACAAGGACAAAAAATACATCCCAAAGGGATAGAGTAGCTTAGGCTATTTCTACCGCCCTCAACCCGCTCATATGGCGGGCGTCAGACTGGAGTGCGTGGTTTCCATGGTGCTACACAGCTTGATTATACCTGCCTGTGGATGACTGTGATTATTGTAAATTTTGGTGGTAAAGAGATTTGGTTATGGTAGCTTAGAGCATAATTTAAATGTAGTTACGGTGAATGCCTCTAAACGCGTGGGAGGGGATAGTGACCTACGGAATCACAGTGACCGTGAAGCACAGCCTAACCCCACCACGGTGGCGCCAGAAAGGTATAGCTGTCTCTCACACAATGAAACTTGATGAATACATCCATTACTTGATGTATTCAATCAAGTGAATACATCATCCTTGATGAATATATCTTGTATTCAATCAAGTGAATACATCATCCTTGATGAATATATCTGAAGATCCGTAGTAGAGCTTTTACGATATGAATACAATACGACAGCTTAAAAGGGAAAGAGTTCTTCATTAAGGTTACCTTCCTCTTCAGCGAGTGTGGCATTAGTCACGCTTATGTCAGCCGGGAAGAGTGAAGGGTGACAGGAAAGCGGGTGATGATTATAATGTATAATAATAGTAATAATAATAATAATAATAATAATAATAATAATAATAATAATAATAATAATAATAATAATAATAATAATAATAATGATTATTCAATACTTAACTACCAGGGGTATGTTCAGTAATACTACCAGGTACTACTACTACAACTACTAATAACAATAATAATACAAATAATAACGGAAACAATACTATCAGAATCTGAGAGAAGCAAGTTAGCCCTGGGACCAGGTGATAAAACCCTAGCCCTCTGGGACTCGATGACAGAGCCTAGCCTTGGGACTGGGTGGAGTAGCCTAGCCCTGGAACCGGGGGCGGGGTAGCCTAGCCCTGGAAGCGGGAGAGGCGGGGTAGCCTAGCCCCTGGAACAGGGGGCGGGGTAGCCTAGCCCTGGAACCGGGGAAGGCGGAGTAGCCTAGCCCTGGAACCGGGGAAGGCGGGGTAGCCTAGCCCTGGAACCGGGGGCAGGGTAGCCTAGCCCTGGAACCGGCGGCGAGGTAGCCTAGCCCTGGAACCGGGGAAGGTGGGGTAGCCTAGCCCTGAAAGGAGAGCCTCACCTTGTCACAAAAGACCTTGATCTGGCAGTAGCCTCGATGGACGAGCGTAGCGGCGTCTCTGGGATCCTCGTACGTGTCCACCTGGATGTGTAGAGGCAAGCCCTGGAAGGAAGGAGGAGACATCTGTTACCACGTAATGTAAGCTTATCAAGCTGAAGACACGGGTGAATGGGGGCGGATGACAAAAGGAATAGAGGGTGGACGAAAAAGGATAGGAGTGGGGTGAGGAAGGGGGAATGAAAAGGGGGGTAAGTATGGGTAGTTAAGTGGATATTTACGAAAGTGGGTAGGGATGGGTTTTAAAAAAATAAAGCCTGCCCCGAGGAAGATAAATAGTAGGAGGTTTCAGAGGTGACAGATATACCGTTTAATATGTGTGATAGGACGAGAAACTCGGTTTTTTGTTTTGCTTTTTTTTTTGCCTCTGGTTAACGACTTCTCTATCTGGAAAATGCGAGAGCTATCAAGCGCCTTGCACCGAGGCGGGACTATGGGCCTTCTGGCCGGCTTGACTTATGTCGATGCTGTTTGCTGGTACACAAAAAGCTCACCGTCTCGTTGATTCTGATTCAGATATTGCTAATTTCAGTCTATGCAACTTTTGCATACGCGAAAATGTTGCAAACATGCTAAATACTTTGCAGTTTGAAAGCAAAGAGAATCGACATACGATGTTTTTGTATTCTGAAAAAAAAACGAAATGTGTACCTTGAGTGTTTCATTTTAGGAGAGGGTGTCGTGTTGTTTGTTTAAATCTTGTTAATGGTATTGGTGGTGGACGTTGATTATGACGGTAGAACTGGCTATGGCGATGGTGGGGATAATGAATATGGTGATGCTGGTGGTGGTGGGGGTGGGGAGGATAGCGGTGGCGACAGTGGTGAGGATAGTGGTGGCGATAGTGGTGAGGACAGTGGTGGCGATAGTGGTGAGAATGTGAGAATAGTGGTGAAATATGCTAGCAATATCAACCTAGGTTGCAATACTTTAAGAATATGTGAAAGCAGGGGCCTTGCGCTAGAAAGCAGCAGACAGCGGTAACGAGGGATGGTGACAGGCAGTGTTAGTAGAGGATAGTGACAATAGACAATGGGTAAGAGGCCGCCATTTTATCCCCAGGAAAGGGCGTCATATCTAAGCATAGGTATACACAGCACAAGCAGATACATCAAGCTGCATAACAGATTTATAAGATATAGATACACAGAAAAAAAACACACACACATGCACGCGAAACATGCCAAGCCTTCCCACAGAAATATTCCTTTTTCGGAGCAAATTTGTAAGCGTGAAGAATAAGAAGACATTGAGAGTGACGACCCCGTAAGAAAGGCAGGAAGAACGAGTTTGGGTGTGCCAGTGGACCAGCGGGGAGGCAAGGACGACTTGTGAATCGGTTTGTGTCTACAGAACCGTCGGATTTTGGTGGTCTGAAGAGCCCCAACAAACACACACACACAAGCACGTAACTTAGCCGCAAAGTTGAGGTTGCGTTGAGTGTCTGCTGGGTGTTAGAAAGGGAAGTAAGAGATATAGCTCAAGGCGAGCAAGTAAAGTTTGTAAAATCGGGAGAAAGCAGAGCCTAGTGCAAGAACAGGTGCACTAGGCTACTCTAGTTATTGATGTGTGTCTGCAGGTTAAGGGTTCGACCGAATATCAGTGACGTTGATGCTAATATATGTTATTGAGTGGTGTTCACAGCTAAGGTGGCTATCAGAGGCGGTTTGGCATACATACAGGCAGTGTTAATTACGTTGTCGTTGTTAGTAAGAGAAATTTTAATCATGAATTTTAAGAACGAGAGCTGTTTGTAACAGCGCATGCGCTACACGAGGAGTGACTTGTAGCAGAGATTATAAGTTGTTATTTAAAATAGTTGGAAAGTACAACCAATAGAATATATATATAGACATATATATCCCCAGAGGATACTTTCCCCTAATATTATTTTATCAACCCAATTACATGTAAATATTAAAATGAAAAACAATAACAAAATTAACATTACTGTATTTTAGTTTGAAATGGTTAAAAGTCACGTCTTTTTGTGTTTGTTATTTGTTCTTTCATTTAATTTTTGATACATGCTTCGGTTGATTAAATAACATTAAGGTGAAGTAACCTCTGGCTCATCCAGATAGCAGCCAGAGATAAGAGGACGTAGAGATAGGAGGACGTAGAGATAGGAGAACACAGAGATAGGAGAACACAGAGATAGGAGAACACAGAGATAGGAGAACACGGAGATAGGAGAACACAGAGATAGGAGGACACAGAGATAGGAGAACACAGTGTTAGTCAACAGGGCAGAGTGAGCAGCAAGGATAGGTGTCCATGCGGGGGGAGGGGATAGACTAGCGTCCCTTAAAGAGGTGGTCACCTGAGTATGGAGAGCATGTGGCTGGGTGGTGCGGGGTGAAGGGTGGTGGTGGTGGTGGTAGTGGTGGTGGTGGTGGTGTGGAGGGGGGAGAACACCTCATGCGTGTCCACCTGTATGTGCAGCGGCGGACCCTGAAAGATACGTGGAGGTGAGATGGGGGGGAAGGGGAGATATTGGAGATGGGAGGGGAGATATGGGATATAGGGGGAGGAGGAAAGATGTAGGTGTGTGTAGAGGGTGTGAGGGGGGGATGGTGAGGATGATGGTGGTAGTGGTGGTGGTAATACTAATGCTGTTACTCATTCTAGTGGTGGTGGTTGTGGGTGGTGTTGGCGGCGGTGATGGAAGGGATGGTGGTGGTGGTGTTGGCTGCTGGCGGCGGCGGTGGTGGTGGTGGTAGTGGTGGTGATGCTACTGATACTCGTGTTAGTGGTGCCTGTGGTGGTAAGTAGGTGGTTATGGTGGTACTGACGGTGATGGTGGTAGTAGTAGTGCACTAATGTTGTCGATGATAATTGTAAATAAACTGTAAACAATGTTCCAAGGAGCAGAGTGATAAAGCAAGCAAATTAACTGCAACAGGAAACAGCTAAAGAGAGAGGCATACCTCTCTCTCTCTCTCTTTAGAAGTCAAACAGCAATTGCAAAGAGTTGATTTCAAATGTCTCCTGGAAGACCGTATCTTTGTAAAAACGTCCAGAGGTGTTCTATGGCTGAAAAAACGTTCAGGGTGGTAACAGTTGTGAAACGTCCGTGGTTGTAAAACGTCCCGGGTTGTAGCTTTGTAAACATCAGAGGTTGTACCTATGTGTTCCTCGAGGATTTTTTTTTAGCTATGTCAAATATCAAGGGATGTTGATGAATTAGTATCAGAGATAATTGCAACATCAAATGAGTTGGTGTAGCAAAGTAGACGTCAAGATGTGAGCATCGTGATGAGTATCAGGGGGGTTGTACCTACGTTAATACAAGTAGTTGTAGTGTTGTAATATATATGATAGTTCCAATATAAACTTCAGAGGGAATACCAATGTAAACACTAGAGGGAGCACGAATGTAAACATCAGAGGGAGCACCAATGTAAACATCAGAGGGAGCACCAATGTAAACATCAGAGGGAGCACCAATGTAAACATCAGAGGGGAGCACCAATGTAAACATCAGAGGGAGCACCAATGTAAACATCAGAGGGAGCACCAATGTAAACATCAGAGGGAGCACCAATGTAAACATCAGAGGGAGCACCAATGTTAACATCAGAGGGAGCACCAATGTAAACATCAGAGGGAGCACCAATGTAAACATCAAAGGGAGGACCAATGTAAACATAAGAGGGGGGCACCAATGTAAACAACATATGTAGCACTAACATAAACATGGTAAATGAAACATCAATTCCAGAAGAAACATTACATCACATTATGAATGGTGAATGGCTTGAAGATCACAATTATCAATTATATTATATATCATTGTTGTTTCTTGTACATATCTTAAGAGAATAATTATAAAAAAAAATATACACGAATAATAAAAATATTAAAAAAATAAGAGAAATGACATAATATTCATTCTAATATTTAATTTAATAATAAAATAATTGAGAGGTAAAGACATTTTTATAAATAAATGTCCAACAAATCAGAAGATGTCTTGCTCTCAACAATAATAATATACCAGAAGTTTCAATAGAAATAAAAATATTTTAATAATAATTGCAAATAATAAGTATTTAGCAGTATACAGTATAAAAAATAATGAAAATAAAGAATATATTAAAAATAAAATCATTGAAACAGTATACAGTACTATAAATTATTAAAAAAATATAATTTAAATATTAATTAAAATATTATTTTAATTAATATAGTATATTACTTTTATATAAATATTAAATAATATACAGTATTGTATATATAAAATTAATTTTATATTAATTTAGTAAAAAAATATTAATTTTAAATATATTATGTTACAAATTCAGATTAAT